TAACTTAAATTAAGACTGCTTATACCTTATAAACGATAAAGAAGTGCAAATATTTCATTCTGTATCTACACACATTTTTTCAATAAATATTTTAAGTAAGATTTGTACATCTTAGTCAATTTATTTAATATCTTTCTTTAGCAAAACATATATATTTTCAAATTTATAAATTGATTAAAATCAATATGCGTATGAAGTCTTGATAGAAATCTGACTTTCTGTGCCTTAAAGTAAATGAAATTCAAAAATACTATATTGCGATACATCGCTATATCGCGATGCAAAACTGACGATATATCACGATATATAATTTCTAATATCGCCCAGTCCTAGTCATCCGCCGTACAGCCCTGATTTGGCACCCAATGACTTCTTCTTATTCCCACACATCAAAAATAAATTACGTGGACAACGATTTTCGACCCCCGAAGAAGCGGTTGATGCATTCAAAACGCATGTTTTGGAGTTACCTCAATCGGACTGGAAAAAGTGCTTTGAAAATTGGTTCAAACGCATGCAAAAGTGTATTGATCATCATGGAGAATATTTCGAAAAACAATAAAACCAATTTCGATCCTACATGTTTGTTTTTTCATTATTAGGCCAGAAATATAAATAGCAACCCTCGTATTCAGTATTATGTTTTTTTCACGTTAAAAATGTGTGAAATTTGAAGATAGAAATCTCCTCTATTACTACAAACATTTTTTCGAATTTTAAAATAATCTCAGAGTGTGCTTTGTTTATCCAATGTCAACAACTTTCCAAGAACGTTGGACGTCGAAAAGTGTGTGTGGAAACTTTAGCTGTGGAATGCATTGACGTTGATAAAACAATTGTTGGCAAATATGGTTGGCCAAATATGGAAGTAGATCAGTTCCTAATGAAAAGAATATTAAATATTTTTAAACAGTTATTTACTTTTTTTTATTCTTTAAGTGAGAAAGATACAGTTTTATATTGCATTAAAAAGGTTATAGTTTAGGAACTGAACTACATTACATAAGCTCCTAGTATATTATTTTAATATTTGTTTCAATTAATTGAAACAATTATATGAAGAACTAAAAGAATTAATCTGAAACGATTAGTTTTGTTTCGTAATTAAATTTTTATCCCTCTTTTGCTTGAAAAGTGAAAATTGTGTAACGTTTAATTTTTTGAATCGACATGTTTTGACTAGCAAAAAGATTAATAATAGATCAATTGAACTCACAAAGTCACACATAAGCATAGAAATTTTACTGAAATTCATTTGCAAATATTTTATTACTGTTAATGTGAACATAGCTCTCTTTTTAATTTTTATTAGCCTCTTTAATAATTTTTTCTACATAACATATCATCCATAACTTGAAATAAAAAAGTATAAAATACATTTTAAAGTCAGTACTTTTATATCATCCAGGAGAAATTGCACGCGTCTCTTACTGTTCTACCATCTGGTAATAGTAGAGAGAACCACTAGAGTAGGATGAATAGTCAGTTATAGATGAATTATCAAGAAAACTTAGCACATTTAATAAAAAAAGTATAATGAATAGTTATTATTAATTGAAAATAAGCCATTTACTCCAAAAAATTTTAATAAAATACTAGGAAGGTCCATAAAAATTCTTAGAATCTAATACTTAGTCAGTAATCATTAACCTTTCTAGTTTACCACTTGATAAGCTCCCTTGATTCAGGTTAAGACAGTATCTTATCTTTAGTAGTCAGCACATTAATTGCATCTGATAAGTTTAAACATACTTTTAAAAAAAAGTCATGAATAAATATGGATGCATCAATTGGCAGTAACTTTCGTATTTTTTTCAGCTAGTAAAGTAGTTGTCAGCTCTTTATTTTAATGGGAAAAAAACACGTGGCATTGGCATATTTTCTTATTTACAGTGTCACAAGAGATCGGCACAATTAAAATTTTACATGATTCGAATTTAAAGTTAATCGAATATTTACATATTTGAAACGATATTTAAAGTATTTAAAATTACCTTTTGAATTTCTTTAGTTTTGCGTTTTCTAACAGATTTTTTCTCTTCAAGTCCCTCAAAACTCGGTGGCTGTATCGGTGATTTAAAACCAAATGTAAAAACTATTAGTGCACAAAAAATGACAGCAACAATAGGTACAGCGTACAAAGGATTAAAAGCTTGCAGAAATTCCATATTAAAGTTATAAAGCATTACTACGTGCATAGGAATAAATTAAATAAGTATAACGCGACAAAATCAACATTCATTTCGTCTACATGTTTTGGATTGAAGATGATGATGTAAACGCGTCAACATTTCCGTTGCCAAAGAACTAGTTTTTGTTTCGTATTTGACGTGGTAATTTTATTTCAAAAAAGTCAAACTTTCACTATAACTGTATTTCATTAAGAAATGAGGCCTATGTCTATGACGTAATTTGTCCTATGGATGGGTGATCCTGTAAAGCTAAGGGTGGTGGAGCTAGTAGTTAAATTGCTCTCGCAAGACATCCGGGTTACTGCTTCCGATATATTTTTACGCCGCAGATTGAAAAAACGCGCCATCATATTATTGCATCATATCTTTTACATGTCATCATATATTTCATATGTACCGATTTCTTTCTTTCAGCCTTTAAACTTCAGCATTATCATATTAATATCATAATCATTAGAATATTTTCTAATTAGGCTAACTTAAAAAGATATTTTTGGCAACATTTTAGTCAAATGTAGCCAAATAAGGGATTAAATACAAAACATGGCAAACCTTAAGAATTATTCACAAGGAGATATTAACTTTCCAAAGTTTTCTTTGGCCTTACGACCTCTGAGAATCAATACATTTCTGAAAGCTCTTATGAATGGAACAATTATGTTTAGATTTGAACCCAAATTACAATAACAAAACTGCATAGAATATTAGGCTTGTTCACACATCGCCTCGTAGTCATAACATAAGCGGAGGGATACACCGGAAATTTTCTAAATTTTTTCCGGTTTTTTCTCCACCCATCCATTGCTGAGAATTATAAAAATAATTTTTTCAGCACTTAATATAATTTTTGTACCAACAAATGTATACTTTTTAATAAAACTAAACTGCAATTTTTTATAAGCACCTGCTGGATTAAAGGAGATTCTGAAAAATTATTTAAATTAACAAATTTTTAATTCTTTTTGGTGAGTTTGTAAAATAATTATGTTTCTTAAAACCGATTTCTCAGAAACTATTCAACCGATTTCGTGCAAATTTTGTATTTTCCCATGTAAAATAACATTGCTTAAAATGGTGTAAAAAGTTGTAAATTTTAAAACTCAAAACTTTTTGACAATAATTAAATAAAATTTATTACGTATTTACTAAATGTTATTTTTTGCATGGGATTATCTTTTAATAAACGGATTTTATAATTGTGGGCAAAAACTTTTCAACTCACTTAAAAAGCTCTCGCGATATGACGAAGTATGCATAAAATGAAATTAAAATTAAAAGCTCCAAACTTCTGATTTCTCTTCTGACCAAATTATTGGAACCGCATTTCCCAGATTACAACTACCCCGCCTATATTTTAGGGGTCGTTGAAATAAAGTGTATGCTCATTCAGAGAAAGTACGTTTTTGTGTTTGATTTGGTGACTTAAAATGTCCTTTGCACTAATTAATTAGCAGATTGAAACCCCCTCGAACCATTGAATCGGATCTTCACGTTTTAAGACTCAATTGAGTCTTAAAAAGTGAAGATCCGATCATTAGGACCAAAACTTAATCAGGGGGGTCATTTCTTTTTCCACTCTGTACATATAAGTATGTATAATGCAAACAGTGGCATGTATAGACATAGGTTCGCCCCCTGCAAGATTTAAAAATGTGTTCTATATAGACTTTGTTGTTGTAGTTCATTTACGTCGCACTAGAGCTGCACAATGGGCTATTGGCGACTGTCTGGGAAACATCCCTGAGGATGATCCGAAAACATGCCATCACAATTTTGATCCTCTGCAGAGGGGATGGCCCCCCTGCTTCGGTAGCCCGACGACCTGCTCGCGAAGTCGTGGTAGAACACTTTACGGTAGAACAGTTTAACGAGGACCGATACCGCACACCCTCGGTCCCTACGCAGACTAATCCAAGTGGTCACCCACCCGCAACCTGACCGCATCCAGTGATGCTTGACTTCGGTGATCTGCTGGGAACCGTGTCTTAACGATCAGTCCACTGCGGGACTATATTATACTTAACACAATTTTTTAAAATAACATGACACAATGAAGAGACATTCGGGCATTTATAATTATTCATTTTTACTTATATATTTTAATATTGATTAATTACGAATTCATTGTGATGTAAGCACCGAGGGGGTGTTATTTACGCAACTTTTTAAAGATAATTCCATGAAAAAAAAAAAGAAAACTTTTAGTAAAGATTTATTATTTTATTTAATATTAGTTAAATAATTTATGAATTGTAATGCATACAATTTTTTACATCATTTTAAGAAGTGTAAATTTGCATAGCAAAGTACGAAATTTGAGTGAAGTAGGTCGAATAGTTCCTAAGATATCGAATTTAACAAACACGACTTTTTTAAATTTACAAGAAAGGGTGGAATTCTAGTATTCCCAATACCACCCTTTCCAATGGAAATCTATTCTAATTGGATCCTTTTGCTCCCTGGTTTTTAATTTAATCCTTTCTTTATATTCTTTAAATTTGATCCTTTGTCTTGATTGGTTAAACCATTTTGCATGTGTTTACCTCTTTACTTTTCTAATATCATTTGATGTTTAGACACTGAGGAAGGTTCTTATCTAGAGAACTGAAACTATAGTATGTCCATTTCTGTACTTGATATTTCTTCTTCATTCGCGTTTTTCACTTAAGTCGACATAGCACAAAGTATACCCTATCCTTTTGGACAATAAAATTTTTCGTTTGCTCATATTTAATTCTATTTATCATAATGAATACATTTCAAATTTTAAGGTATCTTTCTAATTGATATGAAAATTTCGAAGGCATTGAAATGCAAATTTCTATAAACTTATCATTTGAGTCATACAATTTTTTCTGATAAAGCAATAGCATGTTAAAATGCAGGCAAATTTTTAATATGCCACACATTTAGAATAACGATTAAATCACAGCTGTAAACATATTTCATATAAAATATCTAATAAATGAGTTTAAGGGTATTTAACTATGCTCATTTAAACTTATAGTAACAAGAATTTTTATAATTTTCAATGTTAATGTCAATAATAAATACTATTACAAATATAATAATCCATAATAAATGTAATAATCTATGAAAAACATTTCCTTATTATTTTGAGAACAACCTTTAAAATTCTCCAAATAATTAAATTATAAGAATACTCGTACTAAAACTTAACAGCTAATTTTTTTCACTCATTAAAATTCACTCTTATATAATTTCATGATTTCTTTAATATATATGTTATTTAAACCATGAAATCTTTTTCTGTGCAATTAATTCATTTTTAAAAATATATAGCGTGAAATTTATTCATTGTCTAATAAACATAATGAAAATGTCAATGTAAAACACTTAAACATCAATTTTAACTTAATTTAACTTTTAATTTGTAGAATTACCTTCTATGTTACAATGCTTAATAACAAAGTATTTAGGTTAGAGAGCATAATTTATAAGCATAATTATTAATTTCACTCAAATCCCAATTTTCTTTTTCAACAAATTTTTTATATCAAAATGCAAGGAAAATTTAGATAGTTTGTTTGCTATGGTTTTAAAAGAAAATGCTTCATAGTTTAAAAATTGTCAAAAGAGCTCTTAAAGTTAGAAAAAAAAACAGGTTTCGTAGTTAAAGAAAACGTAGAAAGCCCTGATTCTTCCATATCAACCTTGAGCATGTAATATAAGCATATCCCTAGAAGTGTCTGGCACTCATTTCAAGAAATTAAAAACAATTATCTGGTTTACATTAAAATCACCTTCTTTCAAAAAAACTTTTATTTTGCATGTAAGTTAAAATTCTATTTTAATTAGGAAGGATTTAAATACAAGTACAGCAAAAATAAAAACAAATACAGTAAGAAATAAAGTAAATGAGTCACTTTAAAACCACTGTAATGAGTCTATGTCAGTGATTACTGATTACAGAACTGAATATAGGAAACGTGGGATACACCGCAATAAGGGAGGTAAGAATGAATTTTATTTGGGGCGTCAAAGAAATGTTACCCAAGACCGGACTCGCGATATACTTAAAAATGCGATCGCCTCTGAGTCCCAGCTACAATAGTGATCCCTACTTGAAGGTAGAGCCCTGGGATCCCATGTCCATCCTTAAAGACCAATTAAAAAATTTATTTAAAAGAGCAGTCAAAAATTCTTTTCTAAAAAAATTTTTTGTAAAAATTGTGATACTAGAGGAAAAGTTTTTTTTTAATTATATGCACCGCCGAACTTTTGATCTAATGATCACTCTTTAAAATGGTATGATACATGTTGCTTCTAAAATGTAAATTTTTTTTTAAAGCATCAGTTGAAAATAAGCACGTTTTTAAAATGTTCTAAGATTTATTACTTAATGAACATTTAAAAGTTTAGTATAAATAATTGCTTTGCAGAAATGTTAATGTTTGGAGAAACATAGTTTCTAATCGTGTCATAGTTCAAAATAGTACCATTTATTTTTACTCTTAGATGTTAGTTTTAGTAAAAATAGCAGTCGAGTATAAATAAGTTTTTTTTTTTGTTTGTTTGAAAAACTAAGCTCCTAGTTTTTCGTTAAACTAAGCTCTTAGTTATTAGAAACCTAAACATTTGAAATAGCGATCAATTTTTTTAAAAATGTCTTAGTATGAGATATAAATCTTGAAAGCTTATTTAAAAATATCTGTACAGGGAAACTTGTGATTTAATGAGATAAATAATTTCTTTTCATTTGACTCTTTGATATGGTTTGTTTTAAATTATTTCTAAAATGCAATATTTTAAGAAAATATTTGTTGCAATTAGCAGTTTTTGTAAAAAAAGTGTCCTTATCTGTAATGATGCAATGAACACCTAATAAACATGATTAAAAATGATTTGCACTCGTTATGTGAAATACTCTTGGATAGCCTTAGTTAAAGAGATAAACTTAAAGAGGATTTAAACACAAAATATCATTCTCATATTAAAGCTATATAAATGTTTAAATAGGGGCTTTCATTGAATAATAAAAAAATAAAGTACAAACTCATTAATTTTTAAAAAATACATTTCAGTTTCAAATTTATTAAAGAAAGCAAAAGTTTTTTAAAAATCACAGGATGACAATCAAGGCTGAAATAAGAACAGTTTACAGGGCCGTGAACGCATTAGTACCTTGAAGACGCAAATAGAAAAGAAATTTTCTAAAACTTTTAACAAGTATATCCATAATTCTCATATAATTACATGAGAATATGATGGATTATGTACACAAAAATAATTGTAAAACAATCATTGAACAATTCTAACAAACACAAGTTTAACTCATCCATAAACATGGCCCTAGAAACTAGAAATTATTAAAATTTCTTTGAGAAACTATATTTTTAGAAAGTTATTGAACATATTTTTATACATTACTATATTAACATTTTAAAGGAAAATCTAAAAAAACAAAATGTCAATCAAACTTTTAAATCCAAGTTATTAAAACGAAATAATAAAGAAAATATTTAGAATTTAACACTCATGAGAAGGACATTAAGAAAACTAGTTTTAATAAGTTAGGAAGAATGTCAATTGCGACACTTTTCACAAAATAATATTTAGTGATTGATATCCAATTGCAGCTATATTTACAATCTAAAGATAAACTTTAAAAACACAAACGTTTTCTCCAACATTATATATTATATATTTACAAAATCGCATTTTAAAATTGTGATTTCATAAAACTTAAAAGTTTCAACAAGATTTTAAAAATTCTAATAGATCATGTTTCTTTCCTTATTTGTTCTAAAAATATATGGTCAATCAAGTTTTTACTTAGTTTTCTATTTATAATAATTATAGTTAGTATAAAACAGAAATTTTCACATTTGTCCCTTCCTCACCATATAACAAAAAGTAGATTAGTTTCATTCATATAGGAATTCTTTTGCTGTCTGAAATAGGTTCAAAGCATAAGGTTGAACATTTTTAAGTCAAATGCATAACTAATTTACTGATGAAGTAATTTACTTTTATGGAGTAGTTGCTTATTGCTTGACAGACTAAATTACCATTTGAAAAGGCTAGGATGTCTCACTATTCTCTTTCCTTTTTTAAGAAATTCCAAACTTTTAATGGAAATCACAAATAAGTTTATGTAAATATTAATTTGTTTAAATTAAAATTATGTTTATTTAGAATTCTATAAAACCAGAGGGATGGGAGAGCATAAAAATAATTAATTTTTGTACATTACTGAAGACATTAATAAGTACAAAGAAAATGGATAAACAAAACAAATGTCTTTACAACTCATTTAAGAATTCAGATCATCGCTTAAAAACATGTTATATTAGGGTTTTTTTTAATGTTGTATAGACAATCAAATTTTTATTTTTCCATTCTGTTCTTTTTTACTGCTTTAACATTTTTTAAGAGGATTAATAATAATTTATAAAAACTAGTTTTACAATTGATAAAATTTTTTATATGAAATGGAAAGAGAGAAAATATCAAAATAAGTAATTCTTCTGCATTATGTAATTCACGAGATTTTAAGAAGCAAAAGAAAAAAAACAAGTAAACAAAATTTAAACATTTACAACTCATAGAGGAACTCATATTAAATCAGAAAGAAAAAAAAATAGTGTTAAAAACAAATTGTTTGAAAATTGCATACAATATGTTGATGTTGAAGGTTTAAATTAAAATTTCTAATACCATTTTTCTTAATCATGAAAAAAAGTTGAAAATTATTGTTTTATCAAATTTAAGGTAAGTTTTTTTAATTTATGATACAATAAAACGGAATTCTATAAAAATGCACATATTTCAGCCATTTGAACCAGTCTATACTTGATAACAACATATTTCCAACAACTGTCACCAATTAAAACAAAAAAAAAACAGAAAAACAAAGCTTATAAAAATTATGTTTATTATTATTTTAACACAAATTAGCATAGCAAAATTTGTTGGATAAATTTACACTTGAGTATAATAATTAGTTACAGCATATCAATTCAACATAAGTATAAAATAGAATAATTTATATGCATTATTGCTCGTGCTAGACACAAGAAGTGAAAATATCTAGAAGAGAAAAATGAATAGCTAGAATGCATTCTTCTTCAGCCACGCTTTTTAAGCTCTTCAAATCGCCTGGCCAAGTCATCAAAATCAACTTCATTTGGAGGACCAGAATCAGGCATTGTATTTGGAACGGAAGGTAATTCAGGAAAAAATTCAGGAATATTTGGCTGTGGTGCAGCAGGCTTTGGGATAGCTCCAGTATTTTGCGGTGTTTGTTTATCTCCAAAAACACTTTCATAAGAAGGGGCTGGAACATCAATATTGAAACCTATGTTAGGAGAAGGGCCAGGATACGGTCCACTAGGTTGAACATTTGGAATTGGAGGGGCTCCCTTAGAAGTTAGCTGTGAAGATACATAAGGCATTAAATAAATATAAAGCATTTTATTACAGTTTTCATTTTAGCATATGCAAAAGACAAATAACTAGAAAAAATTAAAATATATTAACCCTTTCGCGACGCAAAGCGTGAAAGCGCGCTTACCGCTGAGGCCGGCAGTCTCTCTAGCGTGTGTCTCCCCAGGGCCGGAGGGTTTTTTGATGTTAAGCCTAATTCCATGAAATTACCGAAATATCAGCGCATTGTTTAATATTGTTCTGTAGAGTATTTAAGTGACATATGCTTTATATATATTTCTATGGATTCTTTATTTACTTAAGTTATTTCTTGTTTAAATGCAATATAAATATTAATAAGTTTAAATATTTTGCATAATTTCCTCTATTTCCAGCTCAGTTAAAAATTTTCGACGCTTCGACATTCTAACGGTAAAAAGAAAAAAAATTCAAGCCTACAAGATCTAATTATCCACTAAAAACTAATCCGAAAATCGAAAGTAGCGAGAGATAAAAAAAACTCCCTTACTTACTGTAAATAAATATCACGTGCTAATTTAAAGAGCCCTCATAAAACATTCCCCCCTCCACTCCTTCCCCTAAAAATCACGTGAATGTACTTTCATCTTGAGTAGAAGGTCAAATCTACATGTATCTGAAACCATATGGACATACAATGCCATCTTTTGGAAGAAATTTCATTTTTTAAAACGTTCCGAAACGCTGGCACAAATAAGTGACGGTCGGGGGTGAACGAGAAAACTCTCTGACACGCGGGTGTGTCGGCCGGGAAGTGAGCGCGTTTCTTGCTGTCACATATATGTGACAGTCGGCTCGAAAGGGTTAAACATTTAAAAAATTAATCCTAGTCATCAATTCAAATGATCTTGGAGCCACTCTGAGTTTTCCGTTGTGTGATTTTGATTTCAATTTGAATGAATTTTGTTTGATTTCAGATGAATAGTTCAGGTTCATTTGGCACCAGCATTAGTAAACAGATCCTGGTTTATATTAATTAGACACAATGCTTTTATTCCTTATTGGTAATTTATAAGATTAGATTATCTTATTTAATATCTTATTGTTTGTCTATTCTTGTATTCAATTCATTTTTTTTTTTGCTCAACATAAATACATAAGATTAATATAATATACAAATATATATACTTATAAGGATTTAATGAATTGTTTTTAATTTTTACTGCAAGATGAAGGGAGAGATGCTTACATTTGAAGTGAACAATAGAAAATATTTTTCTTCTTTCATGAATTGAAAATAAAGCATTTTTTTTTTTTTTTGCAACATTCAGCTAACAAATATATGTCACTACACACTACTGCAGCTAGTAAAATATTAAATAAATTGAAAGGTAGAAAATTTCCCTATCATTAAATGAAGAATTTTTTTCACATGTATTTTTTTCGCACGTTTACAAATGTTTCTTTTTTAAGACTTTTTCATTTTCTGAAATTTTCAAAAAACTTTTCATGGTAAATATATTATGTTTAAAAAAATGTAAAACCTACTCTGGTTCGCTTCATATTAAAACATAATACAATTATTTTGTATATTTAAAATTTTTAAATTTTTGTAAAAAAGATTTTTTTAAAGATTTACTTTCAGTTGTTTTATAAATCACATTCAACAATTAATCCATGTAGCTTATAGGCTGCCAATAATAGTCATCTCCAAACATTGCAGCTTTGAAAATAATCACAGAACACAAAGATAAATTTGGATAAAACAGATCAACCAACTTGTCTCTTAAGAGCATTTTTTTTAGCAATCCAATTTACGTAGATAGAGAAGAATATCATAAAAACCTCCGACGGTTAATTTGGTTATTTAAACCCATGAGAGTAACTGGTTAAAAAAAAATTGAAAAAAGTTACATATAATTATCAAAATAAAAATCTGCAAATAAAGAATGAATAAAATAATATTACTTCTCTTCATGAAATAAAAGGCCAAAAGAAAAACTTTTGAATATAAATTTAAATAAAGGAAATGTTTATACAATGGAAAATTTTTTGAAGGGGTAAATTAATTCTCGCTTTTACTTATTGAATAATAAAGAAAAAGTCAACCATATATATTTATTTTTAATTTAATGATTAAATGTTTCTGTAATAAGAAACAATTTTGATGGTTTAAGGGGCACATAGACAATATTTTAGTTTAAAATCAAGCATAAGAAATATTCTGTCTAAAGAAATATATCTCAGTCTTTTACTTTTTACAGTCTTAATTGTTAAACCGTAAAATGTACAAAATAGCTACAATTTACAAAATATGATTGATTAAACAAAATTCTAATAGTTAAATCAAGAGAAAAAAAAAATTTTTGAGCCCATTAATGATTAATTAATGTTTTGTGAATTTTTCTATATCACTGTTAACACTTAGACAGGGTTGGCAAGTTTTTGACATGTGTCAGTTCTTTTTGGTTTCAACCATAGAAATAGGTCAAAAATCCTGTGCAATAAACCTGTGTTAAACACCTAAAAAATTGCATATACGTATTGGTATAATTGTTATTTTTCATAACTTAAAAGCACATTGCGTTTAATATTTAAGGTTAGATATTAAATTACTTCTTTTTAATACGATTAACGTGTGTATGAAAGAAATGACATAAACTTAAAATATATGTTACATTCATTATATGAGAATAAAATTCATTTTACGCTAAAAAAATATGCTGGAAGCTCTACAGCTGTAAAATTGCTTCAAAAAACATTCCAATAAAAGAAAAAAAATGTCAACATTCTAATGATTATTCATGAATGCCTTCCCTACTATAAAAATAAGGCAATATAATATGCATATAAGTTAACTTAGGTACTAGAAATATAGATCGCTAAGAATCATTTAATTATTTTATGTTTAAATTTATGCTTTATAATTTATTTCTTTTCTTTGGTCAATTTTGTTATATATTAAACCAATGTTAAAATTTGAAGTATATTCATTTTACAACATTGAGTTTAAAAATAAATTTAAAAAAAAACTTGCAATATTAAACAAAAAATAAATTTTCCATTTCAATAGCATAAAACTAATAATTGTACTATAAAAAGATTTCAAAAAGTCTACTTCAAAATTCTTCAAGAAAATGAGAGTTCTCAAATAAAATAAAAAAATATGAAATGTATGAAGATTAAGTGAAAATTTGTTTCTTTAGCTCAAAACTATAAATTTAACATTCTATGTAATTATTGATTATCATACATTAATTTTTTAATCATAGAATATATTGGTATACATCTCTGTGTATACTTATATATTAGTATACATACGTATTTCAAACATATACTATTAAAAACTTCACATGCCTTATGGCATAGTGACTATGATCCGAGGGTTTAGATTATTTTAGCAAGTTTTTGGAAGTTTAAACCAGTTTTTTGATGTTTGTCATGTCAAAACCCCAACAATGACCTTAAATAAATCAAACATTTTCTTTTACACAATTATAAAACTCCATACACACACTTTTACACAATAATTTTGGGCAAAAAATAATTTGATCTTTTTATCGAATTTAATAATGAATGAAAAATGTTTTATTGTAAAAAAAAAATTTCCTCTTCATTTTAAGAAGTATTGTAATCTTAAAGGATGAAATTCAAAATTTGAACTAATCAAGAAATTAAAATTTAAAAATACAATTATTTGAAGCTTTGCTACTTAGGAATTTTTTGACAACTTTTGGATTTTGTAATTTCAAATTGCATAGTCTGAGAGAGAGGTTCAACAATTTAAAACAAATTTTTAAAACTATTACTTTAGACCACAATTCTCACTACTTATTATTTTAAAAAAAAATCATAGATTTAAAACACCAAAATTAAAAAAAAAATATTCATTTGAATATCATTGAGATTTTGAGAAGTTATAACAAAAATAAATGTTTTCTTAAGTAATAAACAAAACTAAATTTTTTAAACAAGCTAATACAGCATTTTTCAGACTTAGTGAGATTTTGTTGCAAACGGAATAAACTGAGGTTTAAAATCATACTAACATAAACTAGTTTATTCAAGGTAAAACAGTCAAACTTAGTTTCTTCTTTAAAATATTTATTTTATATAAATGTGATATTGTGAGTTTATTAGTTTGACTGCTAATCAAAAATTATTATTTGCTGAATCTTTTGTTAGTAGTAACATTACCTTGGGAACACTCCTCCAGCAAGGTAAAAACGTCATATTTTCAAAATTTTAGAAAGTTTACATAGATTATCAATATCTTTCCTAGCATTTACATTCTCTTAATTAGACACGGGCAGTAATTTACATCTAAAAAGTTTTTTTTTAAAAAAGTATTTTCAAGGACATTTCACATTTTTATAAAGTAATTTTCGTTTGTAATTTAACAGGAATTTTATATTAGTGTGCTTAAAAAACACACTAACGTAAAATTCCTATTTTTAAGGGCAAAATATTGCAATGGGGAGAAACAAATTTTCTTGAAGGGGATGTTAAGAAGAAAATTTCACAACTATTTTCTTATGGTTTTTGACTTATAATATTATTGCAAGTTTTTTTTTTCTATGATTGAATTGTACAATAATACAGCTACTATCTTTATATAAATGGGGCCAGATAGTTTATAGGTAGGTAGAGTTCAACTCTTTATAACATGTATCATAGTTCAGAGAGGCATTTTGTTAAGTGCATTGAGTTTGGAAGCATTTACGAGTAACTCATTCACAGAATTTCCAACAATGAATCAGGTGATTATTGGGGAACTAAAACATTTACAAAAATTATGGAATTAGAGATCTAATGTTAAATGTATTAAAAATGCACCACTAAGACTTGATGAACAATTTCTAAAAAAGATATGATTAAAAACAAACTTTTCTTAGATTTTTTTTTCCTCGTTAGATCAATGTAAAACGTCGTATGTGAGTTATGTTTATAGTACATATAATGTTTTTCATGCCATTTTCCTTGACATCTAGTTAGTTTAAGTATATTGAATATGATAACATAAATGTCGCTTGCAAGGTATTTAAAAAATGAAAAGGCAGGCAATAAATTGAACTTTCTCTTTCATGAATATGGACACAATTCTAATACTTCTTATAATGCTTCTGTTTTTTAACATTTGATGTGATGAATTAGCAAAATAGATACTCAGAAAAAAAAACCCAAGTAAATTAATTCTATTAAATACAAAAAATCAATATTAAACAAGGAACAGATTTGAGTAGATTTTTTACTGAAAACATTTCCAATTTAAACCAAAACAAAGCATGTCTGCAATCGTATTTTTTTTTTCAAATATTATTAATTTATAACTTCCTTAATATTCCTAACTTACTACTCTCACCAAAACTTTTTTTTTTGCTTTTTCTTTAACTGTTTTTTTTCCCAACAACTCTAATTGTGTTTATTAAAGCTTTTTTTTCTCTTTTACGTAAGATTTCGTAATGAACCATGAGCATAAAACAAAAACTTTTGTTATTTTTTGTTAAAAAATATTATTTAATAAATAATGTTATTGAATTTGTTAAATAATGTTATTTTTTATTTAAAAAAGGACAGATGATTTAATTTAAGAGTAAAAAGTGTTCAGAAAACAGTGAGTCATATATAGAAATTTGTATTGTACATCCAAAAATTTTCTCAGAATGTTTACACAGATTAAAAAAAAAAATTTTTACTTGAAAAATAATGAAAGTTGTTTTATTCAGAAATGTGATGATTTGAAAAGAAATTTGACAGTGTGATAAAAAAATCAGTGATGTCTTACTGCATTTATACCCAAAATTTTCCTCATTATAATTTAATCATTCAAAACAAAAAAATAAAATTTATGTAAAGAAACATATTTGAAGAACAGTAAAAGCTATTATAAGACACAATCTTACACGAAACTCATCTAAAATTGAATGAAAAATAAAAGCATATAAAAATGAGCCTATCTCAACTCTAAGAGCTCCTGGATGTTCTAATAAGCTTGGGTGTATAAAAATATCAAAGCATTAGGAGTTGCGAATTTTTAGAAAGGAAAAAAAAAAATTTGATCCAACTTTATATCTTATAACTGAAATTACATTTCTCAATAATTCAAATATCAAACTATGCAGCTGAAACAGAATAACTAAAAATAAACAATGGACAAACAAATGTAACTTACAGTGGGATTTGGATAGTTAAATGGCTTTGGTAAATCAGGCTGAGGACACTGAATTTCAGGATATATCAAATTGTCTTTAATAGGACCTGTTACAAATCCAGCATCAGGTGGCTTAGAATCATTTCCAAATTCAATTAATGGAACATTTGGTGTTGCCTCATCTGCTATCTCCTCTGCTAAAATTTCTACATCTGGCTCATAAGGTACATTGTGGCTTCTGGCAATTTCTAAAGAAATACCATGCTGTTATAATTTAAAGAAAAAACTAAATGCTTATTCAGTGACACAAAGGCTATCTTACCTATTAAGTATTTTTCAACCAAAGGTTTTGGAGGAGCTTGAACATTCAGCTTATGCACAAGTTTCTCATTGACAGAATGAAGTCCATTTTCTCGTGCTGCTACAGCATAAGGTTTCCCATATTTAACAGCAAGTTGGTCTGAAATAATTTTTAGCTCTGCAATATCAGTTTGCAGACGAGGAGCTGCCCAAATCAAGCTTGATACAGACTCTGCCAAACCTTCATCTAAAGTTCTAGAATAGGAACATTAAACACATTAATAAACCCTTATAGGCAAATTTGTTTTTAATTTTTTATTATATGTATAAATTTTTAAATATCTTAGAGAAAATATTATTGATGAAAAATTTTAAAGAAAGAGTGAGACAAAAATATAAGAAGAAAACTCTAGTCAAAACTTTCTTCATACTAATATCTCAAAAAATTTAAATTATCCAATTTCTAAAAAATAGAAAGTTTAATTAATTAATTCATTCAAATAATCAAATATGAAGAAAAAAATATAAATATTATATGTTTCAAATTCTGAATAAACTAGAAAGAAGATAATGAAATAATAAAAATATAGGAAACAATATTTAATCTAATTGAAGTCATTATGAAAAGTTCTTTCAATTTTAATATAATTACATTAATTTACAACAATTAATATTATTCAGTTCATTAGAAAAATGTTAAAAATTACGTTTAAATTAAAAAAGTGTGAGAGCATTAATTTCAAAATTATTTGAGAATATTATTAAAAAACATAGACAAACAAAATACAACAAATAATAAAATTTGACTTCTACTAATTAATAATTTAAATTGGTTTCAAAGCAGCTGACTTGTGCAGTAATGTAGAACCACAAATGCTGATTGAAAACTTCAGCAATGAGGTGCAGGTCTTACACTTTTAATCTATGTTTATCCCAAACTTTTATGTATAACGATTGCATACAGAGAAAAGAAACTATTTCACACTGACATTTTCCTGACTTAAACAACTCTAAAACAGCAGATCTTTTGCTTGATGTTGTAAAAAAACAAATATCTAAGAGGTATATTATTTATTTTATTATTAAAGTTGTAGGCAAAAATAAATTAATACACAAATTAATTTGTCAATTTTTATTCTATGATGCAATAACTCAGTGCGAATTTCCTTGTCATACCCCGAATAGATACATCTTTTAAGGCAAAAAATTTTCATTAGACATATAGAAACATGCATTTTTATATAGATTAATCTGTTGATCATAAAACAACTAGGTAATGTAAATTTTAATGCTCCATGGCTAGCTGATCAAATGATGTTTAGAAAATTAATTTGGCACAAAAAACAAAATGACTGGAACATTTTTCAGTTTATAGGACCTGAGTTTACTTAAAATAGACAAACCTCTTAAATATTAAAGTCACATTTGATTAAAATTAGAGGAAGTTGAATAATATCAATAGGTTGCACCAGATCTACACTAAGGGACCACTAAGAATGGTTTAAAACAAGTAAAACTAAATTAAAATAGAAAATTAAATTCTACAATTTAAACAAATTAGAGAGCAATGGTGAAAAATTTATTTAGTCATTAATGAATTTTTCATTGTCTATTACAATAAACAGAGCGTGGTATTAGTCACTTGATCATGTGGGTATAACTTTAATTGTAAAAACAAAAAAATAGTTGCAGGCAAAATAAGGATTTTTTAGAAATGGAATGTTGTATATATAAGAATTGAAGGAAATATATATATATATATATATATATANAAATAAAAATGATTAATAAAATTGATTAGTAATAAGCATTTCAAGAATAGTTTAAATTTAACCCACTGACGGTTCTGCACGTAAAAAGTCGCATTTTAACCTGCAGTCTTCTCCGCATAGCAAAACCGGTTCTTCCATGTTAATAGATAGTTGAATAGTGTATAGGGGAGAAACATTCTCCCAAATTTACCCATTTGCTTAACCGCCAGTGGGTTAAACAAATGAAATTTAATGGAGTACAAGAAAATTAAAAAAATTTTGTGAGTACAAAGTGAAGAAACAATTAAACTAATAAAGCAACTTAATAATAGAAATTAAAAAAGGATAATATTTTACTCCCCAAGGAAACATGACATATATGGGCTGGAAAATTTTAAATAGTTCCTACTGTTACAGACGTATCACTCAGCTATTAATCAAAACATATTTTATCAGCACAATATCTAAAATTTGTATATTCCTCTAAAACTCTCCCATATGTACACCATAAGAAAGTTTAATAGTTATAACTTAAACAAATATCAAGTGAACCTTTGCAAAGTTTGTTTTATACAATCTCCTTCCTAAATTAGTATATTTGTTCCAAAATTCTTAAAATAAAAAAAAAGCCAGGCTGACCTGAATTTGATTAACTGGAAAGCTCAAGTAACCAGAATTTTAATAAAATAAAATTTAAAATAAATTTTAAAAAATTACAATCTTTTTAAAAAAAGATTGATAGGATTGGAATACTCAAAAATCTACTGTAAAATATCTGTCAACCGCAGATAAATGCTCGCTCCTTAAATTTCACTCAGATGTAAATAAGTATTTAGTACAGAAAATGCTCCACCCTACTCTTATTGTTAACTAAAGACTGATCAATCTTAAACACACAGCTGTTAAGATCAGGTTTCAAGAAATTGTGAAATTGTTCCCTTGAATAGAGGAAAATATTAATAAAAGGATGAATTTCTCATAACACAAAATAAAAAAAAGAGAAATGATGAATGACAACAGAAAACAACATTTTTAGTTTTTACATTTTCTATTAAGAATAATCTCTTTTCTTCGCTGATTTGCTTTTGCTTTTTTTAAAACTTAGCCATTTTAGCTTTATGCTATAACTGTCATTTAGTTTTCTATTTATCTTTAATATTTCTTATAGATAACAATCAAAATTTTTCTCTTTAAATTTAATATTTACTAAAAGCAGATATTCTGAAGAAAAAAAAAGAACTTGTCTCTCTCGATATTTTCATACGAGTGTAACATTTTTTTCCTTAAATATAACAATGTGAAAAGCAGATTTTCTGTGTTAAATAGGTAAGAGTAAAAAAATTCAATATGATATTTTTATCTTGTGTTCCTCTCTTGCATTTTACCCCATTTATATTTATTTATCTTTAATAATTTTTGTGGACAACCAAGTTTTTTTCCTCCATTTATGTTATTTTCTATAAGCTTCAATTATTTATTTCTAATAGGGAAAAGCATTTTTTATCAGAAAATAAAGTAATGTTGAAAATAAAAGATTGTCGGTGTTCAAGAATCCACAATTTTTATCACTATCACAATTTGATGATTTTCGCTCATCACGGATACTAAAGTTTTTATTGAATATTAACACTAAACATACCAACACTTTACAAGACAATGCAATACAACATACATTAACCGGCATTTCCTGTCAAATGTACCATAAAAATTGTGTTAAATGTATGTTTAGTGTTAAATGTACTAAAGTAAAGTTTTAAAAAAATGTTTTGTATTCTCAGGCTTATCTCATAAGCCTGAGAAAGTGAGAGCTTTATTGAATTATTTGAATAGAACAAAGAACTGAACTGAAAAAATAAGAGTAAGTATTCATTGCTTTTTTGCATTGGTAAAATTTTTAATATTGTCTGAAAAATTAACCAGTTACTTTAAATATGTAATAACTGATCTCAAATCTATATGAGGAAGTATAATTATAGGCATTGATACAATGTACTGAGATTAAGAAGGCATTAGGCTAAAAACATAGTAGAAAATATCAAATTGCTTAAAATATTAGTGACTAATTTTAATAATTAGAAATAAATTTAAAATGAAGCGAAATTTACCATACAACCAATATCAATAAATTTTTTCTAATCAAAATAAACTATTTAAGTAAAAATAAAAATTAAAAAATAGAACTCAATTAGGTAAAACAAAATATTGATGTATTATTAGAATACAAATACTTTAATTAAAATGGTAAATTAATTTTATAGATACATCAATTAAGTCATTTTTAAATAATTAGTTGAAATGTAATTTATAACTTAATTCAGTAAAAATATAAGAAAAAAAAACTTTCAAGCTTCTAATCACATTTAAATTATGCTGCCATTATTTGAAGAACCTAGTAAAAAATACATCGAATGATATTTTACTATATTTGAAAACAAATTAAAAACAACTATTTTGAACAAATAATTTAAAATTGGAAATTATTTTTCCAATTATATATATATTTCTAATGAGAAATTGTCAGAATAAAATATTGTCAGAATAAAGATTTGTCAGAATAAAATGTGTTTCCATAAATACGTTGTTTAATCTTAGAATTTAAGTGTTTTCAAAATGTCACTCAACATGATCTAAATTTAAAATTTTGCAATTTGTAATTTCTTGTTTACTACAAGTTTATAAAAGTATGAAACAAAATACAGGATGATAAATCGATATAATAAAGAATGATAAATAGATATAATACAACTTAGTTAAGAAAATAAAATGCAATAAAAAAAGATAGAAATAATACTTCATTTGTTGAATAAGGCCAAAACGAGCTAGCAAGAGATCACAATACATTTCAACAAGTTCCATTGCTTCAACTAAGTAATCTTCTCGAATAATGTGTTCAACTCTGATCTTTGCACGTTCAAGTTTCCCATTTGCAAGATAATCAGCTATTTCTCTTCTAGACTTTTGAGCTAACTCAGTCTTTTTCTTTTCTAATAATTTCAATCGATTTATAGCAAGTCTTAAATTTGTTTTCAACTTTCCATAATTACAGCCTGTAGACATCATTTTGGAATTATATGTAAGTAGTTGAACAACAAGATAAAATACTTTATGGCAAAGAAGCTTAGCTCACGCAGCTGAAAAAGACAAAGTCAATTTAGTAATATAATTTAATAAAATTGCCACTATCATTAGTAACCAATGCTTATTTTCAGATGTTTCTCACATTCATTACAAGTCATTTTTTAAAGTGAATCATTTTATTTATCACTGTAAATATATTCATGCATCATTGTAAATATAATATACTAATATATTTCATTACAAAGCATACTGATACCATTTTATAATTGATTGCTTAACATTATTTCTCAAGTAATACTATGTTTCATAAGTTTATTTACTAAATGCAAGTAAAATACAAATATATCAAAATATACAAGCATCAATTTCAATTCAATATTCTAATTGACTAGTAACCCCAAAACTTGGCGATTATTTTTATTTATTTATTTGTGCAGATACCGGTACAGAAATCTTCCTTCATTAATTTAAATGATAATCACAATTTTTAAAAAAATCGAATTAGACTAACAAATTCTGCTAATTTTCAAAACCATTCTATAAAATATACATAGAATTACATTTACAGACATTGCATAACTAACTTCTCAAACAATAGAATCTCCTATATGAAACCAGAGTAAGTTAAATACAATCCTGAATGCTACTAATAAAGAAGTCGGAAGAAGTCTATCAATTCGATATAAAGTACTTTAACTTTCTCATAAGACATTATATGAAAGCTAGGTTGCTTGATGTTTTAGTAGACAAACTCATTAAAGAAACATTATTTTTCAAACTAATAAATTATATGATCAGAGTTACTGATTACAAATAAAGTGAAACTTCAACATGTAAAAATGCATTTCTGAAAAAAAGTTATCAGAATTTGTATATTTAGGTTACAGAAAATAACATTTACTAGCAAACGTAATATATAATTATAAGGTTACTTTGTGAGTAAACTTAAGTTGGATTTGTTTTTGATTCTGTTTTCTGATTCGAATTGCATCACAAGCAGAAATGTCAGTCAGAAATTGATCGAACGAATGAAAACAAATAGTAAAAAAAAAAATATTTAAAGAATACGGTGGCCCAGATTTTAAGATGCTTTTTTCATTAATGGTGCTTGTTCCTTCTGATAAATTTTAAATATAAGTATAATTAAATAAAATCAAAAATAAATTCATACTATTTTAAATATTAACGCTATATTTTATTTTTACAATACAAAACTACTTAACGAATCTTCGTTCACATTGGGAAATTAAAGTGAAGTGAAGTAATCATCCCTACTGAACTCAGCTGAAGTTTAGACGTGGACGTGCCGTCACTCTCATTCCAAATTCGTCACTACCGCCGGTGTGCGCTTAGTTTTCTCGTTTGAGGATTTCAATCTAAGTAGATCTTGCTAAGTTCGATAAAAACGTAAGTAATAAAACTGCCCCAAGTATAATATGATTTCTTTTATTAAAATAATTTTTTAATTTCTATGATAATAAATTAATTTTCTCGATGAAAATGCATTTAACTTGTAAAATAATAACTTTCCAACTCGCTATCTAATATGTATCGATATCACTTAAAATTAATTTACTATTTGTTTTTTTATGTAACTTAAAGTGTGTACGATGTTCTAAGCAGGTTTTACCAATTATACTTTATCTTTCAGCAACTTGTACAAAATTAGATCTGCTTTAAATATAGCTGTAACTTAAGGTCAGTGTGCGGAAAGATGATTTAAAAGTTCACACTGTTTTAACTTAGTCGTTACTCCTTTATGATACTTATTAGACTCCGTAACAAAGTGTAAATTAAGGTTTTTGTCTCCTAATGCTTAAGTGTATAAAATTTGTTGCATGTAATAAGTAATATACGAAAGTTTTATTTGCAGGTTTAAGAAATGCCTAAGGACAAGACTCATATTAACATCGTGGTCATTGGCCACGTAGATTCTGGAAAATCTACAACAACTGGACATTTGATTTACAAATGTGGTGGTATTGACAAAAGAACTATTGAAAAGTTTGAAAAAGAAGCTCAGGAGGTTTGCAAATTGTTTTTTTTTTTTTAAAATTAAGTATTGAAATACATGTTAAATTAAGATGGGTGTAGATAAGCTAGTTTTAAAATTTGATTTATAAAGAAAAATGAGTAAATTTACAGATTGTTCTAACATAAATGTACTGGTTTAAAACTAAAGATTAAAAAGTTAAAGTATTTTAGTGTGTTTTTTAACCTATAATAGCTATCCGAAATAATAGTTCATTGTAAAATTTGTTGTTAGAGGATAATTTTCAGCCTAATAAATTGAATATTAATGTTAAGTGTTGTAAGTTTTCAGCAGTTACTTTATCTTATTAACAATTGAAAAGTCTGCTGCTACCTACTGATCTTTTTTAGAAATTGATGTACAAATGCACAATTTAATTTTCCTAAATTTATTTTTATCTGGAATTTTTAAAATTATGTACACATTAAACATATTTATTCATTAAAAATATTTGAAAATTTCAGTTTAACACAAATCTTTTCATTGATCTTCATAGTCAGTTTCATGTTCAGATTTTTGTATGTTGAAGTAAAAATGTTTTTTTTTTCTTTAGATGGGTAAAGGTTCTTTTAAATATGCTTGGGTTTTAGACAAACTCAAAGCTGAAAGAGAACGTGGTATTACAATTGATATTACTTTGTGGAAATTTGAAACATCTAAATATTATGTAACTGTCATTGATGCTCCTGGACACAGAGATTTTATCAAGAACATGATTACTGGTACTTCTCAGGTAAATGCTCTTATCATAAATATCAAAAAAATATTTCTTTATAAGTAATTTCTTCACTTTATATTTTCATAACAGGTGTAATTTTTCAGTATCTTTATTATGAAAAAATAGCTTTTTTTTTAAAATACAGGCTGGCCACAACCTGGAATTATCAGGGAATTTTTTTTATACTGGAGAAATTTGGATAAAAACCTGGGAAAGTCTGGGAATTTTAAAGAGGCTGGGAATTTTTTTAATTTCACTAATATAAATTATTTACTAATTTTCTTAATTTATATTAATTCATCCATTTATACCCATTTTTTTAGATGGAAATGTATCTCCAAGCATTTGATATATCATCAATTTAGCAATACTTTGCTTGCATCAAAATTTCTCAATTGCAGCTCTGTTAAACTAGAATGCCACATATAATTCTCCCACTGTTGCTAAACTAATGTGGGAACCTCTGACCGCTATGGACTGTGCAATTTAGGAAAGATATTTCATTTTAACCTTTTGTAACATATTTTAATTTTAAAAAGTTTTTTTTTTTAAGAACCTATTTTTTTAAGAACTAAAGTTTAGGGAACCGATTATCCGGAACGATCGAGACCATCGCTATTCCGGATAACTGATTTTTCCGGTTTTCGGAATCACTAAAAAAAGCCGTTCTTTAATTGTTAAACCCAACTAAAAAAAAAAAAAAATTTTTTTGGAAATAATCTGAAAAAGAAGAAAAAACGATTAAGTAATACTCTAATGATTATTTCCAAAATGATGGTAAGGTGAACATCTTTCGAAAAAGAAAGAAAAATCCTTAAATCTTATGAGGAAAAAAAAATTTTTTTTTTTAAATGGTGGGAAAATTTATTGAATTTCGTTCCGGCTTTCGGATAACGGATTCTGTACTGTACTAATATTTAATTTTACTCTTTTGTTGGTCTATGATTTTTGATTCAAAGTTTTGTACCAAAACATTAAAAAATTAATAAAAAAATCCTGCCAAATTATCAAAATAAATAATTTTTTTCATGATATGTTAAAAAAATAACATTTTGAATAAAATATTTTAAAATATAGACACTTTCCTTGTACCTACATCCTACACTTTATTAGAATAAAGAAACTAAAACCTGGAAATTTTAAGATTTTTATCTGGAAAAATCGGGGAAATTTGAAATCTGATCTGAGTGGCCACCCTGAAATAGCATAACTAATTCTCTAATTAGCAGTCAAAATGAGCTACAAATGGCACATAGCAGAACTCTTCATATAGCAACACTTCACATGCTTTCACAGTTAGCATGCGGATTGGCATAAGATCATTTCTGTCTTGGCTTTTAATCCAATTAAAAAAATTTGAGTTTAGACACAAAATATTGTGTTACGCGATACTTGTGCATAAAATTATTTTTGTTCAGTGTTTGTACTGTTCTGTTGTTCAGTGTTTACTTTTTTTTAAACAAATACCTTTTATGATATTGCATTCTATTCCAGTAGACCTATGAGCTAGATGTACCTATGTCAAAATAAATCCCACATTTGAAACTATTTTATTCATATATGTTGCAGGGCTACCAACTTTCTATGTTTTCTGAAAAAATTTCTTTTAGTGGTAGTGGCTAGTCAAGTGGTTTTACTAGATTTTTACAATGAAGATACAATTTTTTCATATGAAGCACCACTTTGGTTCAATTTGCTCATGGTGAAGCTCTTATAATGTTGCAAAAATTACCAAAAGCTCTGAAAGCTTAATTTTTAATTATCTACCACTCTGTATAATGTTTAGCAAAAAGCATACTAGTTGGCAGCACTGATATTAAATCTCAAGGAGTTAGGGAAATAAGAATCCTTGAGGAGAGGGAGAACACCCTCTTTAAGAGAAGAGGGCTTAAAAGGAACAATATTATAGTTGTTTAATCAAGAAAACTGCAATTTTTTTTTTAAACTGTATAAAATGTTACATTTTTACAATGAATTGTACTTAAACATTATCTTGTTATAGAATTCTGAAGATAAAAATTATTAACAATTAATACATATTTTACATAGATATGTAAATAGTATTACAATCTAAACATAATTTTATTTATATTTAAATATATTAATAGCTGAAAAAATTAGTGATATTTTAAAATCAATAATTAAAAAGTAAATAAACATGTCCTAAATACACGCTGCATAAATTTCAAAATATGAGAAACTTCTATGATAAAGAATATATTCTATGTAAAAAGCTTTATTACAATCCATATCTTGATAAAGGAAATACTGTTTAAATTAAGGTATGTATTTGTTACAAAATAAGCACTTATAATAGATTATTAATCTAAATAAAAGCTTTAAGTTGAACTTTTTTCACCGTAATGCTAATGGCAAATACTTATTCTATTGAACCAATCAAGCTGGATACTGACCCTTTCAACCTTTAAGGGTTCTTTACTAGCTATGCTCAGCTTCTCCTACATTTCTTAGAGTAATGCATCAATGTAATTTATTTTTAATTATAAATGAATTAAAAATAGGTTTTTAAGAAAGTAAGAATAGGTTTTTAAAAAATGGTACAAAAATTTTAGTGGAGATAGAATTTCAATGTAAGTTCTGATGTTAGAATAAATGTTCTGATTTTTTCCCATTTGATAAGGCTGTTTATTGTCATGTTTTTATTTGTGAAGATTATCTTATAATTCCTTATTTTGAAAATTTATATTAATGAATTTAATATGGATCCACTCTTAAAATAAAAGGAATGCTTATTTCGAAACATTTTATTATTCTCATTGAACTGAAACATATATGAATAAACTTAGATGTTGGCAACTATATATTTCAATTTCTCTAAAAACCAATTGGGGGGGTTCTATTTTTTTTTAATTACATGTTTTCAATAATTTAGATTAACTTGCATTAAAAGCATTTGAAAGGCTTGCCTTAACAATTAATCTCTTATTTAATAACATGGGTTTGAGACTGCTGCTTGATAAATGTTTAAGAAAAGTTTGTTTTTGCAACTTTTATATTTTTTAATAAATATTTCAGCTAGTGTAAGAAGTTGCTATAAAATAATTTTTAATTTGTAGGCAGATTGTGCAGTTTTAATTGTAGCTGCTGGTACTGGTGAGTTTGAAGCTGGTATTTCCAAGAATGGACAGACTAGGGAACATGCTCTACTTGCTTATACTTTGGGTGTTAAACAAATGATTGTTGGAGTGAATAAGATGGATACAACTGAGCCACCTTTCAGTGAAGTAAGTATTTTATATTTGTGTGTACAAAAAATAAAACTTTTTTATTAATTGTTAAAAAGATATTTAAGTTGAAGTAAACCTAGATGTGTGTGTTCCAAGATGTATCTTTAAAAAAATTTATTTTTGCAATGTTTTCCATTTTTTTTTTTTGTGTGCATATTAGCATTTTAAGTGCAGTGAGAATAGTGTTTGAAAGAGGGGATATTTATTAATTTATCAATTAAGTCATAAACTGATTTTATTATTAGTTTGGTTATGGTTTGAAACCTTACATATGGTTATCTATCTATTTATTTGTCCATTTATGTTATACAGTAAAGCTATTGTTTTGCACCTTGCATTAGACTTGCCAATATTCTCAATATGTACAGATTTTGTACAGGCTATTTAAAATCTGTGTCAGACGTAGTTATTTAATCTGAGTTATTTGCTCGGTCTTAACTGTTGAAGCTCTATTACTGGTTTCCTCATACTGAACTCTGATGTATTTTAGATGGTTATCCAATTCTGTTTCATTATCGATTTGCTAACCACTATCCAGCAGAGTGATTTGACTTCTTATTTTGTTGGGTGCCTAGTCGTGATATTCCAGGAAATCTAGGACCTAGTTGACTCACCTGCTCGATTTGCCGCCTCTCAACATTTCCCATGCTTTTCGCAGACATGAAACTATATGCTCCTAAGTTTATAGCATTATATCAACAGTGGGATTTCAGTTTTAATAGACTAACATTAAATCAGATTTGTTTTTCAACGGTTTTTAAAGTTTTATTTTATCTATACAGAATTTGTTGGATGATATTTGTCTTCAAATTTTTTCGCACTGTTGGTATATTAAGCTGTATATTGTTTTGCATTTATTATTTTATTTGCTTTTGCAAACATCTTATCACTTATACCATTTAACTTAATTCATGTATTTTATTTTATATTCACACCTTTTATCTAATTTCATTCACTTGTACCATTTAATCAGTTATAATCTTATAAAAATTAGGCACTTTGTCCTTAGATCTGTTAAAGTATTTTCATGCCGCGTATGCATTTTTGGACTTGTGCGGCTAAACCTTACCTTCATTCATTCTGGACTTGTGCGACTAAACCTTACCCTCATTCATTCAATCAATGTATATGGAGGATAATAATGTTAATAAATATTGTAACTTAGTAATTCAGTCATAAGGATTTCTGCATATTTAAATCATAGCTGCCAACTCTACTGGTTTTTCCAGTAGACTACTGGATTTTACCAGTTTCTACTGGTTTGATTGAAATTCTCCAGGTTTTTGCATATTTTAGAAAATTCCCTAAAATTCATCAAGTTTCCTATAGAAAATCCCTATTGAAAGATAATTTTTGTACAGATTATAGCTTGCTAGAATATTTGAATAAGTATTGTACCTCGTTTATAGAAATCAGTTCAAAACTTTTTTTTTTGTTCTAAAATGTTCTATTTATTTTTATTCAGAACTTTCTTTAAATTAATTAAAAACATCTCTTAACTATCTTTGAGGTATTAAATGCCAATAATATTCGAAATTATGAGTATACATAATACATAACATTTCAAGTATATTTAATGTCAATCATAACTGGAAAATATTGCAGTTTTTCTTTTGATGACTATGAAAATTCCCTAAGTGTAAAATATTTAATACATTATGTAACAATTACCATGAAATTTTTATTATTTCGTAGAATCTACTGGATTTTTTCCTATCCATGTTGGCAGCTATGTTAAATTTTTTTAACTGGAATTTATTACTGTGTGTATTTCTCATTTTATAGTTTTTGTGACTTTGTTGCCTGCTCCCTTCTGATCTTACATGATTTATCTTCAATGTTGTTTAGATTTATCATTGGGATTACAAACAGGGATAAAGTAGTAAAAGCATCTTTTTATTGTATCTGTAATAATGCATATTTTCTGTTTTAGTCTCGTTTTGAAGAAATAAAGAAAGAAGTTACAACTTATATTAAGAAAATTGGATATAATCCCGCAACTGTGCCTTTTGTTCCTATATCTGGTTGGAATGGTGATAATATGTTAGAGGCTAGTACTAACATGCCATGGTATAAGGGGTGGAACATAGAGAGGAAGAGTGGAAAGGGTGAAGGAAAGACACTCTTGCAAGCTTTGGATATTATGGAGCCACCATCTCGACCCACGGATAAGGCTTTACGTCTGCCTCTTCAAGATGTTTACAAAATAGGAGGTAAACTAATTTTTCTTATATTTTTTTATTCAGCATTCTATATGATATCCTTGAAATTAATTTAAATTTCATTTAAATAGGTATTGGAACAGTGCCTGTAGGAAGAGTTGAAACTGGTGTGCTTAAACCTGGTATGATAATAACATTCGCACCATGCAATCTTACCACTGAAGTTAAGTCTGTAGAGATGCATCATGAAGCTCTTCAAGAAGCAGTGCCTGGTGATAATGTTGGTTTTAACGTTAAGAACGTATCGGTGAAAGAATTGAGACGTGGTTACGTCTGCGGTGACAGTAAGGCTAATCCACCAAAAGCAGCTGAAGAATTTGTTGCTCAAGTTATTGTTTTGAATCATCCTGGCCAAATTACTAATGGTTATACTCCTGTTCTTGATTGTCACACTGCCCACATAGCTTGCAAGTTTAGCAAAATTCAAGAAAAATGTGATAGACGAAGTGGGAAAAAATTGGAAGGTAAAATTCCTTATTTATTTAATTTAGTGGTTTGGTCAAAATATTTAAAATTTATATCTTTGTTCTTTATTCTAATATTTTTAGAATAAACAGTTAAGTGTGACTTTTCTGTTCCATTTTTTACGTCTAATTTCTATCGATTCTTAATTAACCATTTCCAATTACTTGCTTATAGTGCTTAGCAGGAGGAAGCTGGAATTCTATTTTCTAAAGAAGTTAAATTCTATATTTTTTCGAAGTTTTTAGTGCTTATGTAGTTAATTTAAAGGTGAATTAAGGTTCATCTACTTATTTACTGTATTTTTGAACTGAAAGCTAAATCTTGTTAGTATGTTAGTTTCAAAAACGACCCTAATTTAAGGTTTAAAAAATAATTTAGTTCTGTAGTCGGGATGATTCCAAAGAAAAGATTTGGAGTTTTATATTACCACCCTAAATTTTTTTTTCTCTCTCTTTTTCCCTTCACAAAATTGCTATTGACTCTTTATGAGCATGCATTGTTGTTATTTGTTTGCGCAATCTGAATATTAAAGTTGCTTGGTTTCTAATTAACTTTAGCTGCTTTGCATTAAATGAAACAAGAGTTAGTGAAGCTGGTTTTAACTTCTCCTCACGGGGATTGTGACCTGTAAGAATATTTAACAATGTAACTAAAATCCTGGCTTTACTGTTTTTTTTTTTTTTTTTCCCTTTTTCAAAACTGAATTTGTTGACTAACAAAGTAGACCAGAAGTGTTTATTGGTCGCTCAATCTGTTTTTATGAAGATACATAGCTTTTTAACTATCCTGCAAAAATATTAATATTACCTGGAAAATGAACCTGGCTGCTAATTTTCAGTTAGCCCTTCTCCCAATGGTGTGGTAAATTTTGTTTTTTGTCTCCTTGCTCAAAATGCGGAGTTTATTTTTTTGATTGCTCGGTGCTGATTGTAGTCAGGATCATATCTTATCCAAGAAGCATTCATGGATGTTTCAGAAAGAATATTCAGTTGAGATGGCCTGTATTAGGTCGTTCCATCATGTATGTTGAAATATTAGCAAATGCGATTTTTCGGTTGCACATAGAACTTGAAATTGCTGTTTATGGTATGTGGAGAGATCGCACAGTCAACAAATGGTACTGCTTCTTCCTCCAGTGGAGGCATTGAAGAAATGTTTTTGGGATCTACGAATGGAAGCCAAAAATGTAGAATCTCTTTGTGAATTTTTTAATTCAACATGATTTGCCGTTGTCTTGCAGGCCATGGAGGTCAGTTTAAGAGCATGTTCCAAAATTTGGTTATTGCCAACAAATTTAAATAGGCTAGAAAGAATACACAGAAATTGGCAAACACAGAACATGTAATTAACATAGTTATTTTGCACTTCTCAATTAGAAGTGCCTCCAAAGCCAAACTGGACCTAAGGTCTGTTAAATTTTTCTTAGCTATGGAAAATATTCACTCACTAGCAGCATTACTGTGAGGTAATAAAAGTATAGTCTGCATTTTTGATGGTAAAGCTTTGTACTTTTTAGCACCATTAATATCCACTGAACCAGATGAGTCCCATGTTGCATCCAGTCGATAACCTCTTCATTAAGTAGGTCTGATACAAAGCTAACTCAATTTGACTTTGTTCGCAAATTTTGCTTCTATGTAAGAAAGTTCTTCACCCTAGAATTTTCTAATTGATAAATAAAATTTGGGCCTCTTTGATATTTCGTCTTATTGATGTTTACTTCAAAAATTAACTTGTGTTGTATGGTTACGTGAATCTTGGTAAAATATTACTAATTAAGTTCTAATATCAGACTGTAATTCTGTTTAGTTAATACTGACTGGCATAATCAAACATGGTCCAATTGTTATTGGATTTAGGCATAGAATTATAATTGATTTTGCCTTATACTCCTGAAATTATTACCAAAACTCCTGTTTTTTACCATTGCTCCTGAAAACTTTTCTACAATATTACCAGGTCTGAAGATATATTAATTTATTATTCCATAAGTTTTAGGGGTAAAAAAGTTACTTATTTAAATTGGCATGACTTTTTTAATTATTATTTTGGTCACAAAATCTCAGGCTGTTTTTAGGTTGGCAAGTATACGATTTGCATTTTAATAGTTTTCTCTTAGTTTGAAAATCCGAATGGATTATTTGTAAAGCTTTTAATAACATTCAAGAGTGTTGTATTTTTGCATTAAATTTCAATAACATGGAAGTTAAAAATTTTAAACTGTCCCTCTAAAAAAAACTTATAAATGGCTTATAGATTTTTAAATCAATGAGTTTTATTATTTATTTTTTTTTTAAAAGAAGAAACTTACCAGCATGATATCATTTCCAAACTAATTCATGTAGCTTCACAGTGAAAATTGTTACTTTAATTTTATTGTTTATCAATTGCAGATGAGCCAAAATTCATCAAATCTGGTGATGCTGCCATTGTTACACTAGTTCCAAGCAAGCCCTTGTGTGTCGAGACATTTACAGACTTCCCTCCTCTTGGAAGGTTTGCTGTTCGTGATATGAGGCAAACTGTTGCTGTAGGAGTTATTAAATCTGTTAAACCAAAAGATTTAAGTGGAAAGGTAACTAAAGCAGCAGAAAAGGCCTCAAAGAAAAAGTAATTTATGCTGTGCTGATGAATGTAAATTATGTATATGATGACTAATATCAAGATTGATATAGTTTTTTTCTAATTTGCAATAAAGATCTTTTGCACAATGTTGTCCTTTAAATGGAGGTTCAATTATCTTTGTATCAAAGTACAATTTATTATGGTCTCTTAAAACATCCAAATCCTTGGAGCTCAATTTCTTGTTGTTGAAGGAAACATGGTGTGTAGCGTTTTTAAAAAAGTGCTTAAAGGTGCTCAATTTTCCCATTTTCAGAATGAGATTAGGATTATGCTAAAAGATGCAGTTCGCGTTATCTATGTTTCGTTATTAATTGCTACTGATTTCTACATGGTTTTTAATACCCATGTATTTTCATTACAATATTAATGGCTAAGTCTCGAATCGTGCATTAGAGTAATCACTTTTTGTCATGTGTGATTTCGCAGTAAAACTACACGGTTTTGCCATCTTTTTCGGCAGTTACTGTCGCAAATTTCGGTGTTTAAAATCTTATTCTTTTTTACATCGACAATTTGCTAAATTTATTTTCTTCATTGCTAGAACATGGTCTATATTTTATTTTAATTATGCAAAGTTTTAAATTTTTTTTTTTGATTTGTTAATTTTCTGTGGTGTTATATGAATATAGAAATCAAGAGCTTTGAACAATATGGAAAGATTTATTGATGCACCCAGCTTGAAAAGACACAAATCAGAGAGTCCGTTTTTTAATAAATTTTCGACATTAGCAAAACTGAAAAGAGCAAGAGTTGTAAAGATGACATTTATTAAGTGAACTAAAAATAACAAAATTATATTTTTGTTACAGCAGAAATGAAAATCCTAGTGTGCATAAAATTCTATCTCTGCAAGAAAAAAAGTTTTGAAAGTGATGTTTTTTTTTTTTTCGTCTACTTTAAAATTTATCGTAAGAATTTTTTAAAAAACATCTAATTCAGACTGATTTTTTTTTTATGCAAATCTGATTCTAAAGCATAAAAGCAATCTATTTTAAATCCTTAATTTTTTTTAACATTTTGTTATATTAAGACAAGTATATATAAGCCAATACTTATTAATCTTTTTCAATAATTTATTTCAAAATATATTATAATTAATTGCAAGCTATATAAAATATAATGGAAAAGAAATAAATGCAAATCTCTGAACATTCAGGCCCTAGCTAATCTCTTCAACTCATAGTAAAGTTTTTTTTTTTAATATCTCGCCAATTCAGCGAGATTTAACCCTTCAATGAGCCTCTTTGAATATCTGCAAAACTAAGTTTCAATTGAATTTTCTCTGCTGTCCTAATTTTACATTGAAAACTGCTTTGCACATTTGCAAAGTAGGTCTTGTCTTAGTAAGGGAAAGGAATTGACCATTTTGCAAAGTAAAGAACAATTGCAATAGATTTTTCTCCCCCCTGTATTCCTTGATCAATCCTGCATATGAAAATAATTCTTTATTTTTAAAAAGTGTGAAATAAGGGGTTAAAAATTGCTGAAATGAATAAATATTTCTCAAATTTAGCATATGTTCATGAGCTTAAACAATGCAATGATGAAATAAATATTGAAGTAGTTCACAAGTGCTCGAACGAAATCTACCAGATTATGTCAAATAATCGGGACACTTTCAAAAAAAGTTGAAGCATTTTTAAAATTTAATGAGTTCTCTATAATTGTATTATGTTTGTTTATTTTCAACCCTCCCCAAAACATACTTCAACATTGATGCTACCTATGCTTTTGATTTTACGTTTCAGGCATGAAGTGAAAAAAAAATAAATTTGGACGCTCTAATAGCATTTCTAAGTTTCTGCCATATGATACAAAATAGTAAAACGACTTTCAATAAACAGGGTGCGTAGCGTTTTTTAAAGGTGCTTTTTTCATTGGGTGTTTTTAAAAAGTGCTTAATTTTCCCTTCTCGAAACATTTTTTTTTCGTTACCATGTCTATTTTCGTCACGTATAAGCAAAAGCAAGCTTTTCACATTATTCTATTCAACATTTATTCATTTCGGCGTACCGTCGGTCCATAGCGTATGAAAGCGCCAATCACTTTGCATGTTTGATGAAATGCTTGCGAGTTCGTATGTGCGTCTACTGAGCTGGGTTCGGTGAGATTGCCATCTCATGTGCAACTCTGATGCATTTTGCAAGATATTCTCAATTTCAGACTTCAATTTCCACCCTCTGATATCGAGCCGAAAAATCGCTCGATCATTTTATAACTGCTAATATAATAAAAAAAAGAGTTCTTTGTCAGAAACTAGTTATTTTATCATGATCTAAAGTCTTTGAGATAATTTTCCATTTTGTTAATGTAGTATATAGTGCTTAAAAGGTGCTTATTTTTTGTTGAAAGATTTGGCTACGCACCCTGGATAAAGTATTCAAGGGAATGCAAAAGAAAAAATTATTGACAAAATCTAAATTTTTCAAAATAAGTACCTTGTCCTGCCCCAGGCGTGGAGCAGAACAGGTTGGTAAGAAAAATTAATCACATAAAAAATTAGTAAAAATGCAGAAAAAGTATGTTTGCCAAATATTTATGTAATTGTAAGTGTTATAAGGTCCATTTTAGTCGGTCTAACCTCTTTAAACTGAACTTGCAAAATATTATGGGTAAAATATTACCAATGTGTGTAAAAAATGGTAGTACCTTCATTTTAAAGCACGTTTAAACTAAGTGAACATTTTCTCGCTAACAACTACTATATATTTCCCCATTTTCATATCGAATATCGTCATATGAATTACCATATAAAATATTATTTATCACTATAAACGCTCCATTTAGTCAAAACTTAAATGGTCATTGTTGCATCACTTCTAAAAAAGTGTGGAACTGTTCTAAAGAAGGCGTCATCTATGAGGTTTTCGTAGTCAAAAATCGAATTAAAGTTTGCAGCATCACAGTTCAACGCTTTGTCAAAGAAGTTTGAATTACAGTGGAACCTGTAAAAGTGACCACCTGGGTAAAGTGAGAATCTGAGTAAGGTGACCATTTTCTGCAAGTTTTATTTAAAGAGTCCTTTTTAAAGACTCTTCATAAAGTGACCACCTCTATATAGTGACCATTTGACTTGGTCTCGAGGGTGGTCAATTTAGACAGGTTCCACTGTACGTTTGTAAAAGTGATGATCGAAGCGATCAATTTCAAGGTTCAGTCCAAGTGAATATCGCTATTCCTTTGGTACCATCTCGCATCCGTTATCCTTCTCAATACTTTGTTCTGCACTACAGTCAGGCCCCTCTTCCCCACTGGGCACGTGCCCAGGGCCCCGCGATCGAATGGGGCCCCCTAGTTCCTGCCAGATTACCAAATGATAACCGATACATTATTACCGAAAAACATTAATTTTGAAAAATCTGATGATAATGACTTACTACAATACCTACGCTTATTATATTAGCTTTAGTTTGCCGCATGCGGATAGCTATACCTTGTACAACATAGCTTGAACTTTTTGACAGATGGGTCAGTGATGGGAAACAGAAAATATCTATTGGTGTAAAAAATGTGTTGGCTAAATATGTGGCTGTATGTATGTTTTAAACTATTCAAAATAAATAAATTCATTCGTCAATCAATTTTATTGCACTAGACATAAAAACATTGGGTAGGTAAGAAACCATTGTTTTCAGTTTTTCTATTTAAATTTTACCTCGAAGCAATAAAAACCACTTAAGACTTTCGGAAAATGCTTGAGTCCTTAACAGGTACTTTTATGTTGTGTGTCTATTCTTATGATTATTATCAATTTTTAATATTATTAAAATAAGAAGATATTGTTCGTCGTTGCAAAGTTATATCGATTTCAGATTTGACATCTGTCAAAAAGAAAGATCAAACTAATAAATAAACAGGGTATAATACTCCACTCTCTCTCAAAAATGAGTTTTTCCGATATTAGTATGTTTAGGTTAATTTAAATACCTATATGTAAGTATAAGAATACAATTTAAAAAAAAATTATTAAATTAAAAAAAGAATTATTTGATGCGGTGTGGTTTATGTCTTAAAGAAACCTATTCGAACGTCATTCGTAATACCAAAGACAAAAAAGGGGAATTCCCGATTCCCGATCGTCGTTTGACTTGACGAACGGGAATTCCCTTCAAGTATTTGTCTGCGATGTTGTGGCGTTTGTTTTGTTTGTAGTTGTTAGTTTGTTACTGACTGTGCTCGAGCTCTGATAAAAAAAATAGTATTGTTTGATTAAATCGTCGTTTTGTCTGTTTTGTGTTAGCGAATATTTTCGTTATAAAATTAATTAAATAGTGAATTATAATATAAAATGTCGAAACGGTCATATCCTAGTGGATCTGAAAAAAGGAAAAAAGCTCTACATCAGAAAGAAGTAATTGAAAAGTTACCAAAATTAACATCATATTTTACTACTACTACTGGAGAAACTTCTGTAAGTAGCAATCAACTCATAAATGTTCCACATGATGACTCAGCTCAATTACAAATTGCGGGAATTTCTAAACCTTCATGTTCCAATTTTGAAAAAGAGATTGAATCAGAAAGCGACTATTCCTACGACGAAAGTGCAACGACTTCAGTGACTTCACTAAAACCGACAACTCCAACTGTGTCAATTGAACAGCAGTTTTCCAACACAGAAGAATTAATATCGCACGATCCCGCCGATTATTTTCACGAAAAGTTTGTTGAAATAAATCGCGAAATTTTAATTCGTAAGGGACCAGTATATTTTCAAAATAAAGATTCTGACTTTTCCGAGGCATCCAGAACATACAAAGATGGTAATAAATTAGTAACGAGATATTTCAACAAAGCATTATTTATTCGCAAATTAAAGAACAATGAAAGCGTCGAAAGAAAATGGTTGCTGTATTCGCCTTCCAAATGCTCTGTATTTTGTTTTTCATGCTGCTTATTTAACCCAACTGATGTTAATCTTTGCTCTCGGAATGGATGTAATGATTGGAAGCATATTAATCACATAATTTTAACACATGAAAATAGCCCAGCGCATAAGCAATCTATGATGACTTATCTGGCACGAAGTAAAGCGGTTGGTAGAGTAGATATAGACTTATTATCTCAACATCAAAAGGAAGTGGATTACTGGAGAAACGTACTTAAACGGATTGTAGCTGTTGTAAAATTTTTGGCATCGAGAGGGCTTCCATTTCGCGGCGACAATGAAATCCTAGGATCTCCAAACAATGGAAATTATTTGGGTTGTGTGGAATTATTGAGTGAATTTGATCCATTTCTTGCAGATCACTTAAAAAAATTTGGGAATCCTGGAAAGGGTAACATTTCTTATTTATCAGCAAATATCTGTAATGAGTTTATTGAAGTAATGGGAAAACAGGTTCTAAAAAAAATTATAAATGAAGTTAAATCAGCAAAATATTTTTCCATAAGCGTTGACAGTACGCCCGATCTGTCTCATATTGACCAGCTAACTTTCATCATTCGATACGTAAAAGACTGTGTTCCTGTTGAAAGGTTTTTGAAATTTATACCTATTAAAGAACATAAATCTAAGTATTTAGCGGAGACCATCTTAAATTTTTTAGAGATACATGATATTCCCATAAAAGATTGCAGAGGACAAAGCTACGACAATGCTTCAAATATGTCGGGAAAGTATAGTGGTCTACAAACAAGAATCAAGGAAAAATGTGAATTTGCCACCTTTATACCATGTGCAGGACATTCACTAAACTTGGTAGGTGTCCATGCTGCTGGGTGTGTACCGGAGGCATCACAGTTTTTTGAAATAGTTCAGAAAGTGTACAACTTTTTTTCGGGCTCTACCCACAGATGGAATATGTTAACAGAACATTTAGGTTCAAAAAAAGTTGTTAAGAGTCTTTCACAAACCAGATGGTCAGCCCGAGCTGATGCAGTAAGTGCTTTGCATGGGGGTTATAAAAGAATATTAGAAGCTTTAATCACCATCGCAAACGATACTGAACAGGCACGAGAAACAAGAGACGAAGCCCTTAGTCTGTCTAGAAAAATGGGAAATCTAGAATTTATTATACTGACGGAAATCTGGAGCACTATATTGGAAAGAATAGACAAAACAAGTAATTATCTTCAGAAAGAAACAATAACACTGGACGTTGCAACCAATTTGTTGACTTCACTTTATGATTTTATTACTAACCTCAGGGATAAATTTGATAACTTCGAATCATCTGCCAAAGAAAATAACCCAGAATCTGACTACAAGGATCTATCTCAAAGAACAAGACGTAGAAGCTCACGGCAGAGTTTTTTTGATGGCTCTGCGCCATCAGTCCAATTGAATGGAAAAGAGCGATTCAACGTAGAAACCTTTCTCCCAATAATCGATACCTTGAGTGTTCATCTAAAACAGCGACAAAGTTCATATGAGATCGTCAGTCAACGTTTTAGTTTATTTTTTCACTTAAAAACTCTGAATTCCGAAGAGATACGACAAGGATGCAAAGAATTTTCTCAAATCTATCACGAAGATGTAAATGAAAAAGAGTTAGAAATAGAATGTCAACATTTAAAAGAATACTTAATAAATGTTCAGAGTGAAAATGAAGCATCTAACAGTGTACAGGAAGTATATAATCTATTAAAGCAAAACAAAATTGAAGACACATTTCCTAACGTAGAAATTGCATTGAGAATATTTTTAAGCATGATGGTAACTAACTGCAGCGGAGAACGCTCCTTCTCCAAATTGAAACGAATAAAAAATGAATTAAGAAGTACAATGCTTCAAGAGAGATTAAATAGTTTGTCGCTGATGTCCATAGAATGTGATATTCTCAATACCATAGATTTTGAAGAAGTGATTAACGATTTTGCTCATCTTAAATCTAGAAGGGTACCTTTGCAATCAACATAGAATTAATCTAAGGATTTTAAGTTAAGCGAGTTACTTTTGTAGATTATTTTTTATATTTCCTATTTTTTTATAGCTAGTAACTAAATAAAAATAAATTTAGAACCTTGTTTGTCTTTCTTTATCTATTGTAACTAAATAGTGTTTTCTCAAGGTCATAGGGGCCCCATGATCCTAATGTGCCCAGGGCCTCAAATAGTTTAAAGACGGCCCTGACTACAGTGAGTTTCCCAAGCTCATGTTCCGATATGTTACACCATGCCGGGCAGGGGCCCCCATCAGGGGGAAGGTGGGCGCACGATGCGCCCACTTAAAGCTTAGGGGGGAATTTTTACACTAAATAAAACGAATAGTTTGGGGAGGAATTAAGACGAGAGAATTTTTTTTTAAGTGCATAAATAAAAGAAGCAACTGGCAATACAAGCAAAGTAGCACTATTTTGAACAAGCTAACGTGGAAGGTGGAAGTTAGCAAAATTTTTTTGGAGTGGGGGATGGGGCCACTGATGCCGGGGAGGCGTTTTGGTTTGCTTTATAAGTAAGGCGATCTCTCCAAAGCAAGAAAAACGGTTCACTCGGTTTTATTGCGTAACAAGTTCTGCTTTGTGTATGTTTGAAAATCAAAATAATATTTTTAAAAACCACGCTTTTGTATTGGAGAATAATAATTAAAGAAACAAAAATTTGAAAAACGAAAAACGTGGGGCTCAAGAAATACATAACAGTATGTGTGCTCATGAGAATATGTGTATGTATATCTGTAATTGTATCTGAATGTGGATGTGTAATATTTTTGTGTACATGCACGTGTATGTGGATGTATATGTGTATGTGTCCAATCCTTCAGGATCTAGCGACAGCTAGATCAAATCCATGAGACCGTGAACTCTAGCAAAGTCAAGCACCAGAAGTGGGCTATCACGGATATCCGCAAGAACGAGACCCAAGCAATGGAGGATATGATCGGGGGAGGCCAGCATCAGATGGCACTTGGTGCACGCTGGAAAGACTTCGCGGCCGCATTAAAAGGTCGTGCATTTTAGGTGCCCACTGATAAGTCTTGAGGCGGCCGTTTGAGCCTGTCTGTCAGCCTCAAGATCCAATGCGCATCCTGGTCTTTTCCTACAGAACCAGGGATGGGCAGGAAGAGAGAGCCAGACCTGCCGGCCTCTATTTTTCGTCACTGAGAAAATCTCTTGAAAAGTGAGGTCATAGTCGGTAGTTGCCATCTCAGAGCAGCCTCTTTTATCCAAGATATCCTCAACTTCGTTTCCAGGGACGTTGACGTGAGAGGGGATCCACTAAAAGTGGACCTCCCTACGATTTTCCAGAATTTTGAGCATATTGATTATTTGAATGCTTGTGAGGTCTTTTACTCGACTCCAGTCCTGTGTATATGTACTGTCATGTATTTCATGCACCCCACGTTTTTCAAATTTTTGTTTTTTAGTTATTATTCTCCACTACAAAAACGTGGTCTTTAAAAATATTTTTTTTAATTTTCTTTTGTACTCACTTCCAAAATCTCAATTTTTTCACTCACTCTACACTAAACTTTTCAACTGACATGTGACACTAATTTGAAATAATCGATCGAAGACAAAAGACAATCGCGAAAATATTAATTTTTCTTTAATTTTAATTTTATTTTACTTTGTATGTCTTTTTACTCTCAATTTTCATGCATTGTCATCCAATTCTGAACTATGTGCCAAATTTCAAGTCTGTAGCTATATAGTCGGGAAGTTAGTTTAAAATCGATTACAAAATTCCACCCGAACAGACATACACGAAGGCAAGATGATATAAACGTGGTAAAAAGGGAAAACTTCTTCGCACGCTGCAGAACCGATTTTTGTTTATATTTAGAGCAAAAGAAGAGGACTTTATGAGAACGCTTTATTATGCTTAGGCTTTATGATTGGTTAACAAAATAAAAATTGACTAGTTATCCATTATCAGAAGTTTCAACACAGGGACAGGAGTTATAAAGCACATGACGAAAATTACGCACATCAGCGATCAAGAGATTCCAATTAATGTGATCGAGCAGTAACTGTTGGTCTAGTTTTACTAATTTTCACTCGAAAGCAACATTTCCTTGATACCAAGAAATTTCTTTCCAACCGGCTACTCTGCTGTGGCCTACGTTTCTCTATGGGTATTTTCTAAAAATTTGACATATTACATAAGAAGCTATTTTCATTATAAATGTATAAAATGTTCGTACTTTTTAGGAATTTTATAATTTTTTCTAAGATGAAAGGGTACTTATTGAAAATATGACTCTGACATTTTATTACGAAATCAGATTCAAATAAATGACGCAGTGCAAAAATACAAAACAAAAAAAAAAGCGTAAAATTCGCTTAAATGCAGTAAGACAACGTGAGTTTTTGGCCTATCTAAGATTTTTGTAATAACTATTCTATAGATGTTCCTAGACAGACAATAGAACGCTGATTATCCGGACATGTCAGGGCCGAAGCTGATTCGGTTAACAAAAAATTCCGCTAATAGGACAACTTAGATAAAAAAAAAAGATTATTTAAAAAAAAAGGCTTTTTTACTCTTTTTTTGCTGTTTATTATTATTTTTTTTTTTAATGTCTGATACAGAAGATGGCGTGCCAATGCTACATTCAATGGCTCTCTCGTCTCTGTTTTCACATTTCTTCATCCTATCAACAATTTAAAATTATTGATGGAACAACAACACGATTCTTTTTTGCTTTTCAAACATATTTGAAAACATTTCTTACTTCTACAAAATTTAATAGAAAAATAGCGTGTGTTCTCTAAGCACGTATTTCAAAAGGCAAATGAAACTGGAAGCGCGTTCTCCTCTCCTCTCTAATTCTTGAAGGAAAAAAAAGAAGAAATTTCTCATTTACTCTTATCTTATTGAAGCTAGGCTGGGAAAGAAAAGGGTATCTCTAAAAATTAGAAAGGCGTCTCTCTTTCAAAGGACATCAGGAACAACAGACGCAATAATTTTACTACCCCTTTGAAGAAAAATCCGAAAAGAAACGGATTTTCTTAATTTTTTTATTTTATTTTATTAATTTATTATTATTATTTTTATGAAAATGAAACTGGAAGCGCGTTCTCCTCCCCTCTCTAATTCTTGAAGGAAAAAAAAAGAAGAAATTTCTCATTTACTCTTATCTTTTTGAAACTAGGCTGGGAAAGAAAAGGGTATCTCTAGAAATTAGAAAGGCGTCTCTCTTTCAAGGGACAACAGGCACAATTTTACTACCCCTTTAAAGAAAAATCCGAAAAGAAACGGATTTTCTTAATTTTTTTATTTTATTTTATTTATTTATTATTATTATTTTTGGATAAGGAAAGAAAACATGCTTGGTTCTGGATTAACCTGGTTAATTTGACAATTCGGTATATTCAGTTATTCGTTTAATCCGAGTCCGAATAAATATTGGCACTCTCTTATAAATTTGGATCAGATAAGATTTTAAAAAAAAAAAAATTATGAATATTTCTACCTGGGTATTGTAAAAAAAAATGTGACGAACATATTTCAACATGAAAACAGTTTTAAATGAATCCCACTTAATAAATAATTTCTAATATTGATCGTGAAGTGCCCTCCCTTATGCTAACGTGTTCTGGTTTTTAATAATATTTTTTTTTAAAAACCTTTCTTTAAATATTTCTGAATATAGATCGGTATATTTAAAACATATGATGCTCAAATTTTAATATGAAACCAGTTTTAAAGGATCGCCGATTTGCAAACAATTATAAAAATTCGCAGTGTGTTCACTCATATTTTAGCGCTTTTACGGACTTTCCAAATTCGAATCAATTAAAAAAAATTTTTTATAAGTCATTCAACATATTTAATACACTGGTTATCATAAATTAAGGAAAATTCACAAAAATCGCGATAACTCAAGAAATTACACATGGAATTTTATGAAACTTACCCACAATATACAACACATAGTAAGGTATTAAACAACATAAAAAGAAATTATCAGACATTAATAGTAGTATAGAAATTAGCACATGTATAAAATAAACAAATTGGAAGTATCGGTTTGCAATAGAAAAAGTACCTTTAATATGGAATATGATTGCCTCTAGAAGCAATACAGCACAAACAGCGATGTGTGATGCTTTCAATTATGCGGTCTATCAGTTCAATAGGAAGTGAGAGCCATTGCTCTTGTAAAGCAGTTGCAAGCGTGGCAAGGGTCTGAGGGGGCGGATTGATGGCAGATACACGCCTCCCTAGAGCATCCCAAACGTGCTCGATAGGATTCAAGTCCGGGGATCGAGCTGGCCACTCCATGCGAGTAATTGTTTCCTGTTGAAGATAATCATCAACAATGCGAGCTCTGTGTGGTCTTGCATTATCGTCCTGTAACAGGAAGCAATCACCAATTGCCCCGGCATATGGGCGCACATAAGCATCAAGGATGTTGTCTCGATAAACCTGAGCATTCACGGTTCCCCTTGGAAAGACATGGAGGTATGTGCGCCCTCCTAAGGATATGCCTCCCCAAACACAGACACTGCCTCTTCCGTATGCATCTCTTTCACGGATGTTTGATGGATGATAACGGGTCCCAGGTTCTCTCCATATCAAATAACGTCTACTGTCACTTTCTAGACTAAACCTGGACTCATCCGTAAAGAGAACAGGCCTCCATTGATCTGACGTCCAGTGGACATGTTGTCGGGCCCACTGCAAACGGTCTCTCCTATGGCGTGATGTGAGCGGCACGCAAATGGCTGGTCGTCTCGCATACAGACCACCTTCGTGGAGCCTTCTGCGCACAGTTGACGTTGACACCAACCTTCCGGTGGCTGCAGCAAGAGAGGATCTAAGATGTGTCGGAGTAGCGGTTCTATTCCTGCGTGCACTTAATGTCAAATATCGGTCATCGGCACTGGTCGTAACAGTTGGCCGTCCTTGACTGAACCTCCTAGATGCCGAATCTGTGGTTTGAAATTGCCTCCAAAGTCTATGAACCACAGA